TCCAGCACTTCCACCAGGAAGTTGTCCCCAACACTCTCCAAAAACTTCCTGGATTGTTTGTGCACTGCTGTATTGCTCTCCCAGCAGATGTCAGGGTGATTGAAGTCCCCCATGAGAACCAGGGCCTGTGATCTGGAAACTTCTGTTAGTTGTCCAAAGAAGCCTCGTCTACCTCATCCTCCTAGTCTGGTGGTCTATAGCACACGCCCACCACGACATCACCCTTGTTGCTCTCGCCTCCAAACTTAAAGACTCTCAACAGGCTTTTTTCCAATTTCATGCTGGAGCTCTGAGCAATCACACTGCTCTCTTACGTACAGTGCAACTCCTCCATCTTTTCTCCCCGGCCTGTCCTTCCTGAACAGTTTATGCCCATCCATGACAGTGCTCCAGTCATGTGAGTTACCCCACCAAGTCTCTGTTATTCCAATCACATCATAGTTCCTTGATTGTCCCAGACTTCCAATTCTTCCTGCTCGTTTCCCGGGTTTCTTGCGTTCGGGTACAGGCACCTAAGATAACTAGCCGATTACGCTGTGTAATCTTAATTTGCCCCCCTCCCACACCCCCTGTTCCCCTGCATTTTGCATTAATTTGCCCCCCCACACACACACCTCCTGTTCCCCTGCATTTTGCATTTAATTATGTAATCACATAATATTTCCACAGGACCCCTGCATCATTCAACACACAGGATAGACCATGCTTTAGGACTGAATTAGGGGTATGTAGTGAATTAAGCACATCTGTAGGACCCGTTGCCTCATTGGTTGCAGAAGTTGAAAGGTGTGTGGTGAATGAGACGGGATTTCAGGAAGAGACAGGGTGGCATCCTGGTTAAGGCAGTTGAATACTGCCCTGGTAAATTGGATTCTATCCCTATCTCTACCAAAGACTTTCTCTGTGAGGCTGCACAAGTCACTTAAAAACATCTGTTCACAGGTGGTCACTAGTTATTTGTTCCTTGTTTTTCTGGATGCCTGACTGAAGACCCAAGAGTCTGATTTGCAGAAGTGCTGAGCAGTCACAACGGGAGCTGTGTTTTGAACATCTGGAGTACTATAGTGTGCAATCAAGTCTTGGGTGTCTCAAATTGGGCACCCAAAATTTGTGGGTACATTTGATCTTAATCTCTGTGCCTCAGTTCCCCATCTGTAAAATGGGGCTAATGACCCTTCATCTCACAGGAGCGTTCTGAAAATAAATTAATGTTTTTGAAGCATTTGGATCCCATAGTGATGAGCACCATAGAAAAGTCCATGAGGAAATTAGAAATTCTATGTGCAGAGCAAGGTCTGAATATTTTGTAGTAAATAAAGCTTGGGGCCACATTGAACAATGAGAAAACAATATATTGAATAGACAACCTTAATTCTGGTCTCTCCTAGCTTTTGAGTGATTGACTTTGCAAACTTAATAATGTTCCTTTATCTCATATTTTAACGTGCTTCTCTATCATAATCAGTGTGATATAACAATATACGTTCCACTAGCGCAGTCCATGCAGGTTCCCATTGACTTCAGGCCCATCCCATTGCAAGATTGGGACCTAAGCTTGATAGAAAACATTGCTGTCTTATACCACAAGGTGGCAGAGACAATCTGCACAGAGCGTAAAGTGACAAATGGGTACCTTTACATTCTTTCCAGCTCAGATAGTACATTGACAAATGTTCACCTTTCTGGATATATAAAAATGTAATTGGTAACTTGCAACTTCTTAAAAACTGGAATACTGTTTTAGCACAAAATGTCCTTTAAAGGCAACACATCAATGCTACAATTTTTTTTGAAGGAAAGATATGCTTTTGAGAACATAGGTAATGGTTAATGACTATATAGAAAGCTTCTTGACACTGTCTGGCCTTAACTGTAAAATAATTTGCAGTTTGGGTTAATTTTAGGAAAGTAAATCTATTTAAATTAGCCCCTGTTTAAGGCTATGACATTAATTTTTTTCTTTGATTCTCAGCAGATGCATTTTTCTTTTATCAATTTAAAAGGACCTTTGTGAGGCAATTTAGATCCCAAATCGCGCGTGTGTGTGTGTGTGTGTTGATTGAATTTCTTTTTCCGCGGGTTTGGTTTTGAAGCTTCCTTTCGAGTGTTTGCAACTCAAACAGAATAGTTTTATGCAAAACTTCAGTACACAATGTGAAACTGACCAGTTTGGTTTCATTGACTATACTGAGTGAAGTACAAAAAGTAAGTAAATAGCAAAAAGAGTGAAGACTTAAACTAAAGCAGCAACAACAAAAACACTCTTTTGGGTTCAGGAATCTAAGGAGACAGCAAGAAAAGTAACAGCAGTAACAAGGAGCGGTTTTTTTTTTTAGGTGACTGTCCTTTTTTTAAACCTTTGCTCTTAGGCAGATGTTTAAGACTTGCAGATGTTTGTTTTGCTTTCCTCTTCAAAACTTAACATCAGAAATAACTTGCCCAGGAAATAGAGGGAGAGATTATGAAGTCTCAGTGACTAAAGAAAACTTTAAAAGGGTTGGGTCAACCAGCCAGAGTTTTTACATTAAAAATTTGCTCCCGAATTACTTGTATCATTTTCTCAGAGCACATGAAATGGTTAAATATTTTCTGCAGCAGTGGAAATGAATCAGAGAGAGCCACTCCTGGAACGGAAATGCTTATCACCATCTTTTTTTCTTTTCCTTCTGATAACTTTATTCTTCAGTCCCTTTTAAAATCATTCTGACTGTACTCTCCTGTCCAATCTCAGACACACATACAGATAACAAATAAAGTGAGGCATTCTGGAAGATAAAATTCTAGCTTGTGTGATTCTGTCCCCACACCTAGGAAAAGGCAGCTAATCTTTTAAAATACATTTCAGCAGCTGATTGTAATGCTGGTTTTATTCAGCTCTCTGGCTCGTGGTAGGCACATATTGGAGATGGTGATACCTAAATATAGCAATCTAAAGCTTCACGCTAACACTTGGTCCGTGTAGGCATTGCAAAGACATTTTTCTCTGTTACGTGTATGTGGTCCGTAGCAATTATAGTCAATAAACATTCAATGGGCAGTGCTTGATTCTGCTTCTTCCACGACAAACTAAAAGTGCTGCGTTATTTCTCTTACACATCCTTAGTTGACACACAAATAATGAGACCTGAGGAAGTGGGCATTGTTCACGGTGAAAGCCATCCTTTTTAAGAGAATTTTTAATAGGTAAAACTCTGTTGGCTTGTTTTTCCTGTGTTGAACTGTTAGCTGGAATTCTTCTCTGCCCCACCCTCACCACCTTAAAATGTACAGTATTGTGCTGTTGTCCAGACATACTCCCTGGACCAGATGATCAGCTGGTGTGTTAACCAGTGTAGCTCCATTGAAGCCAACGTAGCTCTTGATTTACGCCAGCTGCTAATGTGGCTCTCTTTGGGGGAGAGGGGGTTGGCCAATTCTTTTTTGCTTTCATCTGAAGCATTTGGTATTATCCTTCTTTCCTAGATAGTGTCTGCACTAATCAACATATTTGTACTATTCCTGGGGAATTCTGCGCCATTGTGCATGTGCAGAATTCATGTCCCTTGCAGATTTTTTTTTTCTCTGCAGAATATAGATTCTGCTGGAGAGGCGCTGCAGCTACACCTTTTGCCCACCGGGGGCTGCTGTGGCACTAGAATAGAGGGCAGCCAACCAGCACAGAGGCTGCATTCCTCACAGTGGGGCCAGACGAGGAGGCACAGGACGGACAGAGAGGGGCACACGGGGTTTCTGGGGTTGTCACAGACTGGGGCTAGTGAGGGGACAGACTGGGGCATGGGTCAGGAGCTAGTAGGGTGACCGCATTGAGCCAGGGGCTGAATGGGTTGGGGGGTTGCAGGGCCACATGGGGATGGGGAGGGGGGAGTGGATGCAGAAGGGACACATGGGGACAGGGACGGATGTGCCTGCCTGAATGGGAGAGACTAAGGGTCTGTGTGGGGGAGGTTCCTCAACTCCCTAACAATTCTTCACCCCCCGCCCCAAAAAAACCCAAAACTGTCCATACTTCTCCCACCCACACCCAGGTTCACTGCCAGGCTCCTTCCCAGCAATTACTTCCCTCAGCTCCTCTGTTACCCTTGACTCCCCCAAACCTTTGCACTACTTTTGAGGGGTGCGGGAAATATGTTTCTGTATTGTAGTTTAAATGAATTATTACTCAAAGTTCTGTATTAATATGCCTAGTAAGGAATCTATTTGTCAAAAAATATATATCCTGGATCTTTTTTTTTTTT